AATGATCTGACTGCATGAAATCCGTTTCATTTGCAGGAGAGAAGTGCAGGCCGATTTGCCACTTTTCTCTCCCTCTCTCTCTTTTTTTTTTCCCTCCTCAACCTCTTTATCTTTCAATTGAAAACCAATTAAAGGTTTCTATAAATCTGTTAGCATCCCTTTTACGTGGGGCCCTCTGATGCCTGCTGTATTGCCCTTTAGATGCCTCTTCCTTTTTTTGTTTTACAATTGTTGTATCAATATAATGCTTCCTTTCTTTCTCTGTCTCTATAGATACAGATATACAAGGCAAACTAAAGGTTTCAAATGCTATTCAGTGCCTCCTCATTTGTCCCGGAGCCTTAACAGTGGTGCCCTTTCTCTTCTGGCTGCTTTTCCCTGCTTCTGGAGCAGCAGTTATGGGAGAAGCAGATGGCTACTGATTGGGTGAGCTTTGTGGCTTTAATACTGAATACTTTATGGAAAAGGACTTTATCATGCTTGGTTGGTCAGAGGAACAACGGGATGAGATTTATGACTAGAGAAAATAAATCTTTTTAAGTTTGAAGCTCCTTCACACACCCCGTGTCAAGTCACTGTAGCAGAGCCCGAGCTGAAATCCTCTGCATCTATCTATCTTTTTTTTTTTTTTTCTTTCTCCCTCCCCCCTCTCTTTCTTTCCTTTCACTGCTCTCCCCACCCCCTCTCTGTCAGTGTTCAGCAAACCCCTGCAAACTTTAGGGACTGTCACTCACTGGAGCACTGGAGGCCTTCACAGCCCCGCAGGCTATGAAGAGGAAAAGGCTATCCCTGGCTGGGGATCATCTGCCTCATGGAAGTATGTTAGGGACTCAGCTCCTGTGAAGGCTTGTGCGTGTATAACCCTGAAAGCAGCAACTCTCAGTCCCTGTGGGGAGTTTTGAGTGACATCCTAATAAACTGTACAAAGCAGAGGCCGTGTGGCCTCTGCAGAGAGCCGCCTGGATTGGGCTGCCAGCCGCTTGTGTCAGAGTCCAGATCTCCCAAAGTGGAGGCAGAGCTGGCCTGACTTGGATGCCTCTGGTGCGGGGCAGTGCCAAGGTGGGGTGTCCCTTTCCCCCTGGGGCAGCTCTCTGCAGCGACTCCCTCCTGCCTCTGCTGAGCCACGGCTCCTGCCTCTACCTAGAGCGTGTCTGCGATCACATCTCTCCCTTTCTGTAGGGTCTCCCACCTCTGCTACCGAATTCGAGCCCTCTCTGTGAGCAGAGCAGGAGACAACCGAGCGCTGTGCAGTGGGTGACTCCGGCAACCCGTGCTGCGATGGGCAGTGGCTCGCAGGACTGCGGCACAGGTACCAGAAGGCCCAGGGTGTAACGGAGTGAGAAATAGATTTTAGTCTTACCTTGCCTTCCCCCTTTCATTTTCCCTCATTCCTAGTCTCATGTAACCCATAATACTGCCTATCAGGCTGTTAAATATTTTTCTAAAGATAGGCAAATACTTCACACATCCTTACATCCTTAATTCTAGGAAAAATATAACACCACAATTTAAAAAATACTTTTCATATACGAAGTAAAAAGTGATTGGGGTTTATAAATTAGCCAGTGTTCTGACTAATGTAACCAGTGTATATGATGCTTGGTGCTTCATTTTCTATTCATTGAAAAGCAAATTTTCTGAAACACTTCAGTGAATGTGTATCTTGATACTCAAATATATTGTTTCTATGTTTTAAGTGTTCTGAAAAGCACTGAAGGAAGGAAGGAGGAAGTCCGAGTGTGGTCAGGAACTGAAAAAGCAGGAGAGATGCTTCTGTCTTGCCTGAGCTGTGTGAAAAAGTGTGGAGGGGAGGTGGCTCTGGATGCTGCTGTGCCTGCCTGAGGCTTCCAGCTGCAGCAGGAGCGTTCTCTCCTTTTGGGAATGAGTTAGAGCAAAAGCCGGGCTTTGCACATGCATGATGTGGTGGTAGTTTTAACGTGCAAGTCCCAGATGCTGGCACAAATATCAGCAAGATGAGACTGAAGGGTCAAAGGAAATGTGGAGGGGCAGGGACCATGGGCTCGTTTTGAAGCTGAGCTGAAAGTGAGACAGACCGTGTCTTGCTGGTGTGCCCTAGCCCTGGTGAGGCCCTCGGATGTGCCAAATATCATGCTTGGTTGTGAGACTGATGCAGCAGTTTCGGCATGTTGCTGGCGGAAGGAGGGTCGCTCTGCCTCTGTCTGCTCACCTACGGAGTGGGAGTAAAGCTGCCTGTATCCCTGGGACAGCAAGTCCTGAGGACAAGACGCATCTGCAAGCCTAGTCATAGCGAACTGTGAAAAGAATAATTGGTAATTCAGCTGGGGCCCCTCTTTATTTCCACTACAGAGGCCCAGCCATGGTGCTTCTCTCAGGGGAAGGGGACAGCTCTGTACGCATTTCTCTAGGCACTGGGAAAGCTTGTGGCACGCTCTGTGCTGCAGTTAGAAGCACCTCTCCCTTCCCTCTTGTGTTCTTCCCTGCTCTGAGGAGCAGATGCCAGCCGTGCCTCCCAATGGGCGCAGGCAGGGATGAGGGCAAGGCAGCTTTGGGAATTCCTCCTTCTCCCTGCCTAAATAATTGTCACTGGATTTCAGGGCTTCTGGCAACTTAAATGTTTTCTCAGGCTCCTCCGGGATTTTATTTCATGGATGACTATTATTAGGTCACCTGTGAACCAGTCTTTGGGTGGTGATCTGTGTCCTCACAGGAATAATTGTACATCCATAGGCCTCCTGCATTCTCTTTACCATGTCGTGACTGAGGCAGCATCTCCCAAGGGATCCAGGACTATCTCTGATTACAGATTGTGCAGCCTCTGCTGGCCTCTTTTTCCCTCTTTTATTGGTGAAACCCAGGGAGGAACAGGAAGGCTTCTCCAGCACAAGCCTGGAGGGTGTCTTGACATCCCTAGGGAGACAGATCCTCAGTCTTTTGCCGCCATCCCCATGGTAACTCACCAGGGGAGAAAAGCGACCCTTCCCTTTGCTGCTGAGAGCTTAAGTGAGTCTTGTGGCCAAACGCCGTGGACAGGATCATGGCCGCGTTGTCCCTTCAGCCGGACCAGCGCGTCCCGGGGGCTGTCACCACCTCCCCAGCCTCCTTCAGCTCCGAGCGCCCCGGGCAGCTCCAGGCTGGGCTCGCAGTGGGCAGACGGGACGGAGCGGTCGCGCTGCCCGGGCTCTGACGGGGCTGGTGCCGCCCCGCTCCGAGGGGACTCGGTTGAACTTTTCCCAGAGCTGTTCGTTTTGCGCTCGTCCCCGTCTCCTCGGGCCTGGGGAGTCCGGCCACTCCATCACTCACCCCCCGTGGCGGTCGCCTCCCCGGGCTGGCACCGGGTCGGGACCCCGCGCACCTTTTCCTCCCGCTCCGGCTTTTCGCGGGGCGCGGGCAGCCTCTGCATCCCAGAGCCGCACATTTCACGCCGCCTGCTCCGCAGCCCGCGCTTCCCGGCTCTCCACACAATGGGGTTCGGCTCTTGCAGGGAGCACGAGTCCGTTTTGGTTTGCTCCTGTTATCCCCCCAATGCAGCCCTCGGAAACGCCAGCTTAAAGGAAGCAGTCACTATATATAAAACTGTTCTGCGAGGCTGAGGCGACGCTCTTGAGCGGGATTCACTTTTATGGCTGCATCGGAGGCTGAATAAATTCTCGTAAATGCCTCTTCGCTCCTGTTTAGCATCGGGGAATTTGGGGATCCGATAAAATGTCGAAGCAATTTCCAGATAGTTTATGTACCGTGGTATCCCTTAAAATTATTGCGGATAAAAAATAACGTGTAGATTTTCTTTCCACGTATTAATGACAGTCATTTGGAAAATTTATATCACAAAGAAAGAGCTTTAGCATTTAATAAATAAATAAATAAGGGGAGGAGGGAGGAAGGGGAAATCCCCGCGAAGCAGGAACGAAGATCCAAATTTTTACAGACTCCCCTATTTTTTTAATGTTATGTCAATCTCCCTTTTCGGAGCCGCTGGGTTTTGTTGAATTAATAAGATAAACGTTGAAAGCATATTATGAGCAGCCTTTAATCCTAATGCAAGGGGGGGAAAATCATAATTATATGGAGGATAAGTGAATGCGGAGGCCAGCCCTCTGCCCACTCGCCGCTTGCGACCGTCGCCCCGGGCCGCCTTTTGTTTAGTTTGGGGAGAGAGGATCTATTTTACGCCCCTAGCGCGGTGGGCGCCTGCAGCGCGGGCAGCGAAAGGGGCCCGGACAGCGCTGGTGGGCGCTGAACGCGCGCCGAGCCGCGGCGGGCGCTGCGGCCGCCCCGGAGCGCGGGGCAGCGGCGGGGCCGGGGCCGCCCCGTGGGCCGCGAGGCGCTGTCCGATCAGGACCACGGCGGGCAGCTCGGGGGTGCTCTCCGGCCTGTGCGGGGAGCGGGAGCCGCGTTTGCCGATCAAGGCGGCCGCTTAATCCCACTGCACGAACGCGGCTCTCCCTGTCTCTCTCCGGACCGGGGCAGGCGTTTTTTCCTGGCGTTGCGGTTACGAGGGGGTGAAGGTCCCGCCGAGGGAAGAGCGCGGCCGCGGCGGGCAGAGCAGCCAAGCGGCCGCCGGGATTGTGGCAGCGGCAGCCGTCGGGCCTTCCCGGGCCGCCCCCACCCGCGTGGAGCTGCCGCCGTGCTGAGCCGGAGCGGCCGCCCCGGGAGCCGCGGGGGTCGCGGAGCGGGAAGCGGCCTCCCCCACGGCAGGTGCCTTGGTGGCGGGGCCAGGTGAGGGCCGGGCGGACAGGCAGCGAGCGGGCCGCCCCCGAAGGGGTTAAAGGGAGGGGACGTGGGCTGTCACGCGTCATTGGGCAGATTATGTGCGGCGAACAAAAAGTGTGTGTCTGGGTGCCAGTCACTCACTGCATCGGGTCCATCTGCACGAGCCGCGCTCCCCTCGCCGCGCCGCCCGCCTCCCCGGCTCGCCCGCGCCCCGAGCACCCCGGACAGCGGCCGCGCGCCCCGCCGGCCATGGAGCGGCACTGATACAATAGGCGCCGGGGCGAGCGGAGGCAGCAGCCCAGCTTTGTGGCACTTGTCAGGGCGAGGATTATATCCCCACTCTCCCTGGTGAGTACCGCGGGCGGGGCGCCGCAGCGGGCTCCTCCGCTCCCCGGAGCCCGGGCGGGTGGGCCGCTGCCGGGGCCGGTCCCGGCAGGCGGAGCCGGGAACAAAGCCGGGAGACGGCTGTGCTGCCGCCCGGAGCCAGGCCGCCCTGCCCGAGCAGGGCGGCCACTTGCCCCCTGCCCGGCAGCAGCTCCGGCCGCGGCGCCGCCCGGCCCGGACAAAGGGCGGTCGGAGGGGGGGCGGCGGCGGGGCCGCGAGGTGCGCGGCCGTGCGGGCCCGTGCGGGCCCCGCACCCGGCGAGAGGAAAGTTTCGCTGGGGCTGCGTGGTGCCCTTGGTTTCGTTTCTCGACATAATCCTTTTGGGGAAGGGGCGCGCTGGGTCGTGCCGTAACGACAGGAGCAGCGGCGCGGTAGGGAAAGTGCCCTCCCGAACGGCCCCCGAAGCCGGGGGGTCCCGGGAGTCGCGGCCAGCTCCGGCGAGAAGAAGCGCCCGGGAATCCCAGCGACGTGTTTGTCGCCCGAAACGGCGGTACAGGCGCCCGGCGGGGCCGTGGCCAGTGCGCGTGGCGGCGGCTGCCTCCCTGCACGCCCAGGCAGATATAGATTTATTCGCGAGCAGCCCAAAAATAAATAAATTCGATGGCAGATGGGCTGGAAGGCGGCATTAAACTAATCGGGTTTGAAATGGAAAGGGCACCCTCAGCCCGGCGCCTTCCCCCGGCCTCGGCTTCCCGGAGCGCGGCGGGGGCGCGGGCGGCCGCTCCGGGGGTGCGGGCGGCCCGGGGGCGGCGGGCACGGGGCTGGCCCGCCCGCCGCTCCGGCTCTGCCGGCGCCCTTCCCGCTTCGCCTCTGCTGCCTCTCTCTCCGTGTCCAACGCGGTGGCTGCGACTCGCTCTCCTCCATAAATAAGCGTGTCGAGGTAAAAATAATTACCTCTGCTTGCTGCTTTTAATTAAAGTCTCGGAGGGAAAGTGCTGGATTATGGTAATGAGCAGACATACGTTCCCTCTTGTAGACCCGAGCGGGAGGTTAGCTGACATGCAGTCAGTGACAATGACAAGCCACTTGAAACCCATTCGCTCTGCTCTCCTGTCGCAGCCCCGAGAGCGGCCCGGGCTCCTCTTCTGGAGGGGGCCGCGGAGCTCCGGGCCGCCCGGGCCCCGGCCCCGCACCTCGGCTCGCGCGGAGGCCCAAGGGCGGCAGCGCTTTTTGTCCAGCTCCTGCCAGGCCCGCATCCGTACACCGGGATTTGCTCCCCCTCCGCCTGCATGGCCTCAGCTACCGTCGCGCTCGCAGCCGGGCTCGCTAATAAATAAATCACCTCGCCTCGCAGAGCTCCTCGTCTTCTTGATTTTCCTCAAGCCGGGGAAAGTGCTCGCCTGCCTCCGAATTCTCCTTTTTGTTGTTGTTGTTGTTTGTTTGCTTTGTTTTGTCTTTTTCCTTTATTTTGCTAATACCAACTATTTTTTACAAACGTATTTTTGCCGTGTTCTCGGCGGCTCTTGCGGCCTCGGCGGGGCGCGGGCCACCTCCCGGCGCGGCGCTTCCTTCCCGCGGCGTCGCCGCCGTTATGTAACGTGCCCGCTTTGCCTCCCCTCTCCGCCTGCAGGGATGGAGGACGCCGGCGTCCAGAGGGGGATATGGGATGGAGACGCCAAGACCGTCCAGCAGTGCTTGACTGACATTTTCACCAGCGTTTACACCACCTGCGACATTCCGGAAAATGCCATTTTCGGCCCCTGCGTGCTGAGCCACACGTCTTTGTACGACAGCATCGCCTTCATCGCCCTCAAGTCCACCGACAAGCGCACCGTGCCCTACATATTCCGGGTAAGGGATGCACCGAGCACCCCGGGGCCGCCCCGTCGGGGACCGCCCGTCGTCCTGCCCGGCTCCGCTTCGGGGAATCAGCCCCGCGAGGGGACGGGCACCACCGGAGGCCGATTCGGGGCCGTCGGCGGGGAAGCGCCGCCGCCGCATCCCTTCGGACGTCTCGGTCTCCCTCCACCCGGCTCTGTTTATTTATTTGGATGTCTTTTTGTTTTGTTTTATTTGTGTGTGATTTTTTCTTTATTTTCTTTCTTTGTTTTTGTTTTTGTTTTGTTTTGTTTTGTTTTGGGGACTTGAATTTCCTTGTAGGTGGACACGTCGGCGGCGAACGGCTCGTCGGAGGGGCTGATGTGGCTGCGGCTCGTGCAGTCGGCGCGCGAGCGGGAGGAGCAGAACCTGGAGGCCTACATCAAGAGCGGGCAGCTCTTCTACCGCTCGCTGCGGCGCATCGCCAAAGACGAGGAGCTGCTCGTGTGGTACGGCAAGGAGCTCACGGAGCTCTTGCTGCTCAGCCCCGCCCGGGCCCCCGCCCGCAGCAACGGTGGGTGCCCCCCGCCGGACGGCCCCTAACCCTCCCCGCGGCTCCCGGGCAGGGCGGCATGCGCTCGAGCGGCACAGGACGCAGGCAGCAAGAGAGGCGTGGAGGGAAGGAGGCCCTAAGGGGTGCGGGAGGAGGCACGTCGGGGATCCCGGGGCCCGCCCTTCCCCCGTGAGCCGCTCGGCGAGCCGCCCGGGGGCACGGCCGAGCTGACGGTGCCGCTGTGTGTGTGTGTGCCCGGCGCAGGCTCGCCGCCCTACGCGTGCCCCGAATGCAGCCAGCGCTTCCAGTTCGAGCTGCCCTTCGCCGCGCACCTGCGTTTCCGCTGTCCCAAGCGGCTCCACGGCGCTGACACGGGCCCCGCCGCCGAGGCCACCGGCGGCAAAGAGGGCGCCGCCAAGGAGCAGGAGGCCGGCAAGTACTGCAAGCCCAGCGGGCCGCTCCACCACCACTTCCCCGCCGACGGCAGCGGCGCCGCCACCACCAAGCCCTCTACGGACTTCCACAACTTGGCACGGGAGCTCGAGAACTCCCGCGGCGGCGGCTCGGGCGGAGCCGCCTCGCCGGGGCGGCCGGCGCCCCCCGACGGCAGCGGCGACGCGGC